GAAGGGGGGGGGGGGGGGTCGAGGGGGCGAGGCGGGCGGGGAGGGGCGGAGTGGAAAGGGGGAAGGGGGGGGGCTGGGGGGTGGTGGAAAGAGCGGCGCGGCGGGCGCCTCCATCGGTGCCGAATGAGCGAGCGACGACGGCGCGGCGAGCCCATGCGAGATGGCGTGCACGCCGACGCGCAGCACGAGCGCGTGGATCGCGGCGACGCGGTGGGCGCCGTCCGGCCCGACAAGGCGCTGACGCAAGTCCTGCAGCAGCGATCGCGGCCCGCGCCCCTTGAGGAAAGCGTCGAGCGGCTCGAGGATGCCGGCGGCGGAGAGGGCGGCCGTGTAGGGCGAGAGGACGGTGGGCGGCTGCGACGACTCGGGGAGGAGGTCGACCTTGAGGTTGGGCGTGAAGGGGTCAGGCAGCATCATGTGGCGCGGGAAGGCGGACAGGACGAGGTTGCGCAACTGCACGCAAGTGTGCGGGATGGCGTCGCACAACGCGAGGTGGTAGTCGCACAGAAACTCGGGGAAATCGTGCCTATTCACCGCGAGAGGCGTGAAGTTTCGCTCACGCGCGTGCGCGTTGAGCCCCGGGAAAGCTGCTCACAGCAGCACGAGCAGCACGCGCAACGCGCCGCGGTACAAGTGCTTCGTGGGCGGGGAGAGGCGCGGCGCGGTGAGGTTGGGGTAGAGGAAGGAGAAGAGGTGCCCGAGCAGCTTCTGCAGCCGCGGCCACCCCTTGCGCCCCGGCGCGAGCAGCAGCTTTGGCATGAAGGAGCGGTGCGAGACGAGCTCGAGCCACGCAAAAGCGAAACCGGGGACGCGGGACGGGCGGAGCGCCTCGAAGGCGGCGGCGAAAGCGTAGAGCATTTGTGGCTGAAGCGTGTCGAGCGCCGGGTCGGGCGCCGCCAGCTCAAGCAGCCAGTTGCCAAAGAGGCGCAAGTACGCGCGCTGGTTGAAGGGCGGCGTCGGCGGAGCGCCGGGCGGAGGCTCGTGATGGTGGGCACCTAGACGGACGCACACCGAGTCATCCACGAATGAAGTCAGCAAGCCTGCTCGCGGCTCGTGCTGGCGCGCGCCGCAAGCGTGGTGCGCGTGCGAGCGTGCGAGGTGCGCGACGACAGCGGAGAGCACGCGCACGAGCGCCGCCAGCTGCGCGCGCGCCGTGGCAGCCGTCGCCGCGGGGGTCGTGTCGCGCGCGCCCGACGGCGTCGGCTCGGGCGTCAGCGACTTGAGGATGAGCACGACCAACTTCGAGTAGGCGTCGAGTGGCCCGAACGCGAGCGGCAACCGCGTGCCGCCGTCGGCCGAGCCGTCGGCGTGCGCGGCGGCGATCGCGAGCTCCGTCGTCACACGCAGGAAACGCTCCCCCTATGGACATGTCTCGGACATGTCTCAGACATGTCATGGGCGTGTCCTGGACACGCCACGCGCTGCACCTGCTCGTCCTGCCGCAGCCAGCCCGCCGCCTGCAGCTGCGAGACGAAGCCGCGCTCGTTGGCGCCCTGCTGGCCGCACAGCGAGAGCCACTCTGCCCAGAGCGGCGCGAGCTGCTCGCGCGCGTGTGAGAGCGCGGCGTCCGGTGGCTCCGCGGGGGGAAGCCGGCGCGGAGCGGCCGCTGCCGCGGCGGGCGGCGGCGCGGCGGCGGCGGGCGCGGCGGCGGCGGCGGCGGGCGGCGGCGGCTTGGGCAGCCGCCCGCCCTGCGCGCCGCCTTGCGCGAGCGCGGTGCGGAGGTCATCGAGCAGGCGCAGCAGGCCCTCGGGCGGGTTCGGCTGCTGCGCGAGGGCGGCGAGCGCGCCCAACAGCTCCTTGGCGTCGGTCGCCGCGACGAGCGGCTCGTCGAGCATCGTGCGCCGCACCAGCCACGCGCTGAAGGCGACCGCGTGCGGCGAGCGCGAGGTGGTGAGGTGCTTGGCGAGGCGCGGCGAGAGGGTGGTCATCGCGACCACCTGCGCGAGGAGGAGCGAGAGCACGATCTCCTCATGTAGCTTGCGCTCGTCGTCGCCGGCGTACAGGAGCATGTCAGCCACAAAGGCGGACACCTTTTTGCAGGCGGAGCCGACGCGCGCGAGCACCGACACGTTGATCTGCGTGGCGAGCCGCGCCGCGGCGCCCGCGTTGGCCGCCTGCTCGTACATGCGCTTGAAGACGTTGCCCGCCATCGCGAGGGCAACCTCGTCGCGAGAGGCACAATACGTGACGCACTCGGCCACCCGCGCGAGCAGCGCGTGCACCTGTTTGACGGGGGGCGGTGTGGGAGGGCGGGGCGGGCTAGGAAAGGTGTGTGGGCTCATGCCAAGCGGGCGGCGGGCGAGAGCACCTCATGGCTGGCGGGCAGCGCCCCCATCCCGACGCCCTGCGGTGCCAGCTGGCTGACGTGCAGC